GTTGATCAACCCGGGTTACCCGCAGGTCACCCGACGGGTCACCCGGGTTGTACTTTTTGAGCCGGGTCGAAACACTAAAACCGGTTAACACCTTGTAATACTGGATTTATAATCATCCCCTGTTTTTTAATTAGTAATAAAAAACTTTTGCCATCCTTATCCGTAATGTTGGTTGCTCAATGTTTACGAAAAACAGGTTTTACATAAATCATTTCAATTTTTTTTTCCTAATTTGAAAACAAAATCCTGATATGAAAAATGATGAGAAAATTTCATAGCGCATGATTTTTAGAAATTGATTGTATAAATACACGAGATAAAATCTTTTCTTCCTATCCATAAAAATACGCGAGATAAAATCTTCTTTTTTTTCTATCCATAAAAAAAAAAAGTAATTTGATCAAGAAAAATGTCTTCTCAAGGATCTAACAATAATGGTTCATCTAAGGGTGCGAATGACTCTTATTCCACTGGAACCAACCCGCAAGGAAATCATTGGTGCCATCGCGGTCCTTCTGAAGCAAGTGGGGGTAATTACCACTATTCAAACCAAGACAGCTCTTATTATTATCAAAATCGTGACGGGTCAACCTATCATAATAATGGTCGCGGAAGTTCAGTGTATACCCCACCTTCTGAAAATCCAAGAACCTCTCGTTGAAAAACCGTTTCGGAAATGTCTCTTTTGAAGAGAAAATATCAAAGATAAAATAAGAAGTTTTTTTTTCTTTACAACTTGCTCTTTCTTTTTTTCTTTGCAAATTGTTCTCTTTGAGCCCTTTTTTTTTTCTTCTATACTATCTTCTTTTGCAATTTTTTTTAGTTTCTATATTTTATATACCCTTTTTTTATGATTTTTCACATTGTCAAATTTTATCTTTGTTTAGCAAATAACTCAAATGTTATTGCTATTTCTTTCAAATTTTTAATAAAATCATTCCATGATTACAATATAGGGTATATTTTGCATCAGTCACAGAAATAGTAAGAATAAAAATGATAATAATATAGGCTCAAGTATTCTTGCCCGTTCTAGTACTTTTTTTATTAGAATAAAATTTATTATTTTATTCAAACACGTATTGGGCAAAAAATAGAATTTCTTAAAAACCAAATATCTTTACAATATTATCGCTAAACAAAAAAAAAAAAAAAAGCTTGCATATACTTTGCGTTGGGACGTAGCACTTTTTAATAATTATAGAATTATTGTCTGGATTAACATGATCTTTCAACGAGAAAAAAGTAATTCGCTTTATTTTTTATAAACGAAAAACATGAGGTATAAAATTCATAGTGATTAATAATAAAATTAAATAATAATTATTTCATAAAATTTAATCCAATAATTTTTGATATTGCGTTTTCGGATTAAATATAAATTTAACCTTTCGATTGTACGTATGTTATTTGTAAATTTTTAATTTGTACATAAATATCTTATGAATCGTTTATGAAACATCTTATAAAAACATAAACTATATACTATTAATATTTTATTACTGTAATATTTTTATATAGTGATGGTTATTTAGAGATGGCAAAAATCGAGTTTTAATGATTGTTGTTTTACCGTTAAAACATGGTTTAAAACATTGGCGATTGTTGTGGATGATGGCTGAAGCTTCAACCATGACGTTTGTTTCAGGTACAATAACTCATTTTCTTAATCGTTTAAAAAAAAATTTAAAACAATATAGTTAGTATTCCTGATATGTTAACTTATTTATGTTGTACGTAGATTAATGCTGCGTCAGATGTTAACAATAAAATGATTGTTTGACCAGAATTAACAGATCGACCTAAACTATAATCCTTAATTCAGGCCAAAGCGACTCCTGACGCAAGCGTTGATCTGAGGCACAACATTTACATTCTATTAATATCACTTAATTTTAATGATCACAATATTCCCATCAAAAACTTCGATAACTTTTACCCCATTAATTATCCGAAATTCCATATCTATCTGAGCCTTCATTTTTTTTTGGCTTAATGCAAGCCAAAATTAAACATCAAAGTAAATTAACTTATCTAAAAGTTATCTGAAATAGATGAGTGATAAGATAAATTGGTTTTCGCTCATGATGCAGTAAAATCAAATTCTGCAATTTCGTGCGTTATATTTTTATAAATTCTGAGTTGGATAGCAAAAAAATAAGTGCTTTATTCTTCAAATTATTTCAGGTATCAAACAAAAATTTTAGATCAATTACGCTTTGCATATTAGTTTCATTTAACTATCTATGGAATTTTTTTGGAAGATATATAATTTTCACTATATCTCTACTTCTATTATATTTCCGTGTTATATACCTTCTTTTTATGACAATTCCATGTTCTATATCTTTTCTGTATCAATTTCATACTATTTCCTACCTTTCGCTAGTTTTTTAAATCGTGTTACAAGCAAACTTTCGGGCGATTGTAATGTCTTTTTTCCGTCATTGGTTTTTTTAAAAATCGGAATTTAGATGCAACAGCCGGAGTAGATTATTATCCCATATTCTGTTTTGCAGGCAAATTTGCCTGCAATTTGCATTTTTTCGACAAATTATTAATTTAAGAGTACATGGTATCATAAGAAGACCAAATCGGTTTGTTTGATAATCTTTGAAAAATGTTATTCTTTTTAGCACACGGCCTCTCTATCCTTTTATTTCTTCGCTCACTTTTTGGGGTCCTTTGAAATCACGATCTTGTGCTACCTCTAAATGCCCGACGTATATAAATATTAATAATCTTCGGACTTTTGATGTACGTATTTGTATTGCCGACGTAACTGCAGAACTGCGCAAGCAATTTTGGGGCTAAAAACGTGAGGATGATTGGGTATCTACGTACCGGCAATTCGGTTTACAAAGTAAGGCCACGCAAAGTTGATTTTTCGTGGATTTCAAAATTCGGGACGGACGGACGGATTTTTTTTTTTTTTTTTTTTTTTTAACCTGTTATAAATTAATGGTCTTATGTTGCATATAAGGCCACACAAAGTTGGTTTTACGCCTTGCATAACACGGAATCAGAAATTCGGGTGTTGGCAGTCGGATTTTTCTATAGGTCCTGTCGGACAATTCCGGAAAACTAATGTCTCCATCGGATGATACCGGAATAATTCATGGAAAAAATTAAATAGCAAAAATAGAATCATTGGACAATTGGAAATTTTTTTAAAAAAAAAATCGGAAAAATTGAAAAATGGGACGGCGGGTAATGCGAAACGAAAATTTAACTTTGCGTGGCCTAAGGGATAAAAAACTCAAAAAGTGGGCGACCCGCGGGCAACCCGGGTTTACCCGAGTACAAATATTACCTGTTGTTCAAAGGATATTCGTTATTGCTTCAGATAAGGCTAAAACGACACAGCCAATTTACCCTAGGTGCCGCACAAAAAATGCGCGGCAGATTCTCGATTTTGATTGGCTAACGGCCAAAGATCTTTGAAATTTTGGTCCGCATTACAAAATTGTTTACTAAATTCCGGCCGGAATTAGCTTTTTAATTTTTTCATTACAAAAA